TTTTGTTCAATTCGCATTTTGACAAAGTTAAGCGATCCGATCTGCAAATATTTGAAAAATTTCATCCATAATATGTATTAATAGGTATTAAAGTATTCGACTTAATCCGTGAATAATATCATTGTTGTTCTCATCGCTGATATAATAATTTTCATGGCATTATTTAAAAGTTTATCTTTGTTATTGAAAAATACTACAAATTTATAGGTTTTTAAAAGTTTTTAAAAACACTTCTGTGTAATATGATTTTAATAAGTTATCTTTAGATGCTTACAAGCAGACCTACATTCAAGCGATGTATACGCATATACTCACAAACTTTACGCATTCACTAAATAATCAAGAGTTTTAATTGTCTTAATCGAGTTGATAAGAAAATACTTGCACAGTTTAAAAAAGTTTCCCGGAGGTAAACAAAATGCTTTAAGAGTTTCGGAATTTTATTTCAATTACTGTTTATCACATTGTTTCTTTGTTTCTTAACAGTAAGCGTGCCGTAGGGAGTCAAATGAATTCTTTTGAACTTTTTAAGCAATAATCTCATATATATCGTCAAAAAAGCCATAAACCTAGGGACCGACTGGAACAGTTTTCTCAAGTTTGTTAAGAGGAAACAGTCCAAGGGGTTGTATCTAACGAATAGATTGCGCGAGAAAACAATCGGAAGACTCTACCTCTGGTTTGCTTTTGGCTATCGTGATAAAGAATCTGTGAGTTTGGGTATTATCTTGATGTGCGTGTTGGGTGTAAAAAGAATGCGCTACTCTGCCTTGCTTTCGCTTATTTTACGAGGCTTTTCATTATTGTTACGTAAAGGACCAAGGTCGCCAGACACGCAGACATAAATTGTTAATTTTACTTATTAACTTAACATATATTTTAGGCAGAGATAGGAACGACGTGGCACGGGAATATCACATTCGCACTAAGTCAGCTGATATTTTTCGAATGGGATCCATTAGCCAATTGGCAACACCAATTTGAGTTCGGGCTGTGGCGTGGAGAAGCAAAGGATTATAAATTTTCTTCCTTCTCGAACGAACCGAAAAATATTCTCCGTCATCCGCTGAGCGTAGACGCTTTCGGTGTCGAACTAGGGGCATTTTTAGAGAAAACTATCCGTTCCTTCCGATGAACGCCGACAGATAGGCCATTTAGCTTAAATATATGCATTGAAATCTTAATGTCTGTAGACGCTAGCTTCCTTCCGGCCAGTTGCACACTTTCTTTATCATTCGAATTATGTGATTTAGTTCATATCACTGGCGTAATTAATAAAAAAAAATTGAATCATAACATCAAGGCAGAGTAATATCTTTACTCAGGTGAGGGCTATAAACATCAAAGGCAAGGACGCCGGCAATAGCTGCTGAGGCTTGCCCTGGCAAGAGAAAGAAAGGAAAACAATTTTTCTAAACAGGAAGAATTGCAAACTTCGCAGTTATTATTCTGCTATTGAGTGATTCGGAAAGAAATTTGGTTTTTTCGACAAAAACAAGCGTCGTCTTCTTCTCTATAGTTATTTTATCAAGAACAGTAGAACAGTAGAATTCAATCGATTTAAACTCGCAATGTTCTCATGAGTTGTCATTCTGCGGCTTCTATTTTCTCTTTATTCGCCCTTACTGGTCTTTCAGATCGTGATGCAAAAGTGATAGAAGTAAAGTGAGCCGAAAATCCGGCTTTCGACTTTCCATAATGAAAACTGTTGTGCAAAATCAAACAACATTTTTGCCGCACAAGCATTACGATATCAGCTATCAAATGAAGCCAGTGCGCCTTAAATGTGAACTTGGCGGTGAAAAGGTGCTTTTAAATCCACAGTTGGACAAAAAACGAAATGACTTTTCGGCCAACCTAATATTATTATTATTGTAATTTAAAATACTAGCCATCAAGGCTCCATTGTCTCTTCTTCTACTTGAAGGCAAACTAGATCGTCAGTCTAAATATGTTAATGACATTCTGTTTTCCAGGTAATGTCAACATGTCCGCAGATTTATATGCTCAGAAAATGAATCTTCGAATATTGGAGAGGTTTTCGTATTCACGAAGTATAAATTAAATTGTAAAGTGGAAGAGTACACTCGTGAAGAGTATAACAAAAGCGAATTCTTGCAAATGTTCTCCCAGTCTTGATTTTCTCGGCATTGATTGAATATAAATTTGGAACGAGATTAAGTGAACGTGATTAGTGTGATTAGTGTGAACGATAGTAGTCGATTCGAATATATTTTTGAAGGTCAAACATTAGGCTATCTATAATTAGAAATGTCGAAACGGCGGATTTGGCTTTTGGGTCATATATTTTTGCCAAAATTTTTTGATTTTACGAACAATCAAACTGGAGACGAATGTACCGAGGAAGAGGCTGAAAAACAACCAACGAAATGGTACATGGATTGGTACGCTTCAAAGGCTTCTATGATACATATTTTAATAAAAGATATATCAAAAAAGGGGAACTAAGAGCACATTAAACTAGGAACCCATCACGGAGTGAGTAAAAAAAATGTCTATATGAGAGATAAATAACGATGTTTCGACTGGATTGACATCGTAGGAGTTATCTTAAAATTAAACATAATGTTTCGCATACCCTACGCCATTTGCAGAGCATATTAAGTTTCTTCGGATGCGTGTGACATCTAGAGGGATTTAACAACTACACCGATCGATTATACTGATTGATTTAAAATCAATTTCTGAATTGTTTCAAGCCTACCCGTTCGTCCGTTTGTAAGCTGTTCATATATTTTCGTGTTCAATACACAGATGACAATTTGTTGATCAAAGTTGCAACGCACTGACGTCGTTTTGGCGTAAAAATAAAATCTCTTGTAAGCCGGTTTCATCGGAACATTTTTATACAACCATTTTACATGGAACGTCTGATAATGAAAGTGCTGCCTTATAACGCAAGTAAAGTCATTATATGGAGGTAACCGTTCGCCTAATATAATTTATTGGTTTATTTTCGGGATAATACACCAAAAATTATACCTGATTCTTTTAAGTAAAGCATTGCACCGATGTGAGATCCAACCAATTTACGTAGGTGATCCGAATTCGATGCTGTTAATGTTTACCCCAAAATTTCAACTGTTATTTGTTTTTATCACAGAAAATGAAAAATCAGTCCATCACACTATACAAATACTTAAGTTTCGATACGATTTAAAAAATAGACTTACGGGGTTCAAATTCGGTATAGCTATTTTTATGTCAAATTACTACCACGCAGTAAATTTCAATTATAAAATTGATGCCTTTTATGCTTTTGCAGACATCCGTGATCCAAATTACGTACACTTTATGTCTATGTCAAATTGCGGGTCTAGATCAATTTTGATCATGGACTATTGGAAATTTAAATTTTCTTACGATACGAAGCCTTGGCTTTTGTAGTGCGCTTATGAGAAAAAATTGCCCTTCTTTTCATATCATTTCTTCAAATTTAGGGAGATGATCCAATCTAATCCATTTTTAATAGCCAAAAAACACGGGGCAAAACAAATCAGTTAATCAAATTTCATAAAAATATCTCGAAATTCGCGACCTATGCATTATCTGGAAGAACACATGGAAAGACGGATAGATATCGTTAGATTGACTCACAATAGTAAATAAATCGGTATCCGGATCGGATGGATTCATGTTAAGTCCCTTTGGATGTTACATATATCCTCAGATATTTAATATATTCTGTACCACAAGTGTTCTAGGATGGGTGCGCAAATATTGCAAATTTGAAAAATTTCTCGATAAACATCGCTTGGTAATATTTTGTCGGCATATTAAACTGATGCAAAAAAAAACTTCATTAGCTAGAGCAGTTGTTTAAGCCCCTTCTTCCTATGGGAACATTTTTATGAAACCAAAAATTAGCAGATAACTGTACCAAAATTGAAGCAGATAGGTCTATTTTTGGGGCCTATCCCAAGGTGAAAGCTCTGCTCTATGATAGTAATTTGGCATAAAGGTTAAATGTAGAAAATTTGAACCGCCCCCCACGATATATAAAAAGGTTCTAATGAAAGCTTGGCTTTTTTTATATGGGGACCAAGTCTAATTTGCAGACTTTTACGACGTCAATAAGTTCACGTTTTGGGCATTTTTCGTGTCTTATGATGAACCATATATTTTATATGATATTAAGGAAGACGGTACGTACCATAGGTAACGATATAATGTTTTAGTTATTTTATTAATTTTTTTGAAAATCTCTTCTATTATAATCTTTTTTTAAGTAATTTGTTGAGCGATAGTTATTTTGTCACATAAAAGATGAATAGAGTAGTGCTTGCAGCGCATTATGTAGAGACATGTTTGAGTTTTTGTTAAATGATACTCTATAGTTAGCGTATTTGCATGAATTGTACAAACTAGCTATCATTTCTTTCATTTCGAAATGTTGTAAATATTTGTGTTATATAATAAACGACATGGGCGTTAATTAAAATACTTTAAAGGGTACACACTTCGAAAAACAAATATAACCCTAGCATGATGTATGTGTACATATATCCGTTTATGAAACCGATTTCAACATTATTGTCATAGTTGTTCAATAAGTGGTATTTGTATATTTCATGCCAGCTCTCTACAATATTACAGTCATGTTCATTTCTTTATTGCATAAAATTTCCGCATTAACATTAATGTTCGATATTAGGGAAATCTACAACAACAATTTTTTTTTGGAATGAATTCATTTCGAGATGAGTTTTCATATCTAGAAATCTTAACTTTCGAAAAGTTCTCTCCACAAGCCGTGTCCTCTGTTTATAATGCTTTTTAAATGCGGCCTATGCCTGCTTGGGCGTTTTAATGCAAACGCTGTTAATAGCCATTGAATACGAATACCATTGAAATAAATATTTACTTATAAAAAAAAAAAAAAAAGAGAAAAAAAGGAAAAAAAGCTTTAAAAAAAAACCTCTTTAAACAAATATTTTACTCTAACAATCAATCAGATCTGTGAAATTGTTTAAACATCATCACAGTTGTTGGTCAGTCAGCAACATCATAATTTTAAATGACTTTTTGCGGTTATTATTGTAATTGCCAGTCGCGGCATTAGCGGTAGTGATGGTAGTGATGGCTGTAAAGCAGCCAAGTGTTGAACTATTTGTATAAGCGTGCAAGTAGACACTGAGAGAGAGAGAGAGAGAGGAGAAAGATTTTTATGCGCTTTAGCGGTTGATTAATAAAATAAGTGAGAACGTAATGATAGTAAACCCATTCAAAACGGTTCTTAATTGGTTTTATAGTAAAAAGAAGAAGAAGAAAATGAAAAAACGAAAAAATACTTTAAATATTTAAAAATGAATTCACTAAATTATTTATTATTATAATTAACCACTTCGGCTTTTTAATAGAAGCTCGCGTTTATGATATATTTTCCGCCGTCTGTGCCCGTCAAACAATTCAAACGAACGACTGATTAACGCTGAAATGGACAATGTTTTCCCGCATCTTATTTTAAGATACGATAAGTAAGTGCGAAAATTAAACATGACACCAGTTTTTTTTCATGAAAAAAATCAAAACAAGCAAGTGAACAATTAAATACCCTACACCACTTGGCCTAATGTAGTCATTCATATATCAAAAATTATACATTACTTGCCATAGAAAGGCTTGGTTTTTACGAGAGTCCCTGCAAACCTCTGTGATCCAAATTCTCTACGGCTAGTTTTTATGCTACGTTACTACTATGGATCCATCTTCATCATAAAATTATAAAAATTAGACGTTTTTGGCATATAAGATTTAATATTGCATACCAATGTTTGTGACCGATGATGTTCACAGAAATAGACCTACTTGATCCAAATTTGATCCATTTAAATTTCATACCAAACTACTTTTACGAATTAATTTTCATCACAACATAAAAAAAAAAATGGACATTTTTGGTATACAAAGTGCCAGAGAGTGATTCTGAATCGGGTAGGTCTATCCCAAGCACTTCTGGGTGTTACAAACCTGCGCACAAACTTTATATACCTTTGTCTAGCAAGCGGCGTAGGGTATAGAAGCGCTCGTTTCAATAGAATGATTGAAGTAAATTTTATTAAAAGTACCGTTCGTCGCAATGTACATATTTGTCGCTACCAAAGCTATTGCTAAGCTTTTGAAGCTATCTTTTTGGGACATTGTCTTAAGACTCCAACCATCGCTCGAAGAGGCAACAAATCATTGGCTGAGATCAATCTTGCTAAGAAGGAGTGATGTATACCGACGTGGGCACCAATTTTCACTTCACTACTGGTAATTGGATTTTTCGGATGGATTTAAGATGATGCCTTCCAATGGAGAAGCAAGTAATACACAAGCGCTTTCGAAGAAAGTAACATAACTTTCTAAGAAAATCGGGAAAGCATGAAGTCAAGTATATATGTATGTATGAGTGAAAGAGAGAGAGAGAGAGAGAGAGAGAGAGAGAGAGAGAGAGAGAGAGACAAAGATTGAATGAAAAAGAGAGAAACGGAGGAAGTTATAGAAGGATTCAGAGAGGAAGAGAGGGAGAGAGAGACATTACGAGAGAGAGATAAATTGAGTGGGAGAATGGGAGGAAGAGAGAGGGAGACAGAAAAAAAGAAGGAGAAAGCGAGAAAGAGAGTTGTTATAGCTATTTTGACAGGTTCGCGGATGCTATAGCATTCATTTTCATTGCAATGCAAAATGGCATGAAAGACATGGCATCCAAATTTTAAAGCCAAATATTTTTGTTTAATTTTATATAGCTTTAAAATATTTTTAATAATACTTAATTAAAAAATTGGATATGTATGATTGTGAATGCTATGGCGTTCATTGCATGTATATAATCATATTATGACTACTGTTAAAAAATATTTTTAATCAGATTTCGGATATCACAACTAATTTTAAAATATAATAAATTAACTGTAATTTTGCACGTCACTGAAGTTTTTACTGTTCAAGAACTGGACTGTGTAAACTACATATAGATCCATTAAAAACACCTGGCGGTAGTTATTAAAAAGAGGAATCACTTGAGGGACATTTTAACAGTTGATTATAATCAATAAATTTTTCTGCATTAAAAAACCTAACAGGTAATGATTGTTAACGGATAGTTGATGTCAGCTAAGAGATAACGAATAACTTTTAAGAGATTAGTGAGATATAAGTAATGAAAAAAAGGTGAAAATATGCAATGCGGTTGCAGTATATTATCAAAAGATTGCATTTATTATGTAAGCTATATGTAGATCTAGTTAATGATAGATGTAAGGTTAAAAAAAAAGTAACTTGAAGAATATTGATAATTATAAGAACAACATATCCCCGTAAGCGGATAAGAGATGTAATTAAGAAAAGGGTTACACTATGAAATTTCTAATAAGGCATCTATAGGTTAGAGAAATTAAGGAAAAGGTGGTGAAAAAAATTACATTTCATTATTATATTAGCAAGCTATCTTCACTTTGCACATTTGATGAGACATTTTAACAAAGTATGTGACGAGGTATGTGACACATAAAATGTCTCATTCAAACATGAATAATCTTGTCACTTTAATGTTGTTATTGTTTTTTTTTTTTTTTTGTTTCATAATCCCAAAGGCAAAAGCATGTCGCAAACTTACAAAAAGGATAAGTGCGAAGCACGGAGAGTAGCTCATAAACACTACACGTGCGTGTGAAAAGTAGACTTTGATCTTCATAACGTTTTCTAATACAGCCGATCGGTAAGCGGTAATCTCTTGAACTTTCAAAACTTTCATTATATTTCCGTGAATAAGTAACTAATAGTTTACAGAATAAAGAATGTGGTGCTAACCTATAGTCGATGTTATATTCCGCTCCGGAGTAGTGCGATGTAAAGCCTGATAGCGCTAGTTAGTCGGTTGCGCTTTAGACAGACGCCGTTTGGCTGCTGTTAAACTAGGAGAAAAATAATTCCAGGGTAAGCTATCTTAGCATACGATCATTACTGAAGTACATTCGGCCCTCGCTTCAGAAGGCTGCACAAAATGCAGTTCGCAGAAACCTTTTGAATTCAATAGAAAATATGTCACTAAAGCAAGAGGATTAGCATGACCTTGCCGAAACATTTTTAATACCTTCCTAAGCTAACAATGAACACATGAACAGATTCATAATAGATAATATATAGCTTTTTTCCATGACTATTGAATTTGAAGATGATTACTCTTAGGATGACCTTGATGAAACAATTGCTACGCCCTCGCGCGCTTTAACACAAAAGACATCAAAACATTCGTGTTGCGATCGAAAAAGTTAATGTGGTTTTCTTGCGAGACAATTGAACTTGAAAGGGGTTTATATTAGGGGCTTATATTGGCGAAACATTTTTAATGCCTTCCTATGGCAACAATGAAGGCATGATGATAATATATGAGGTAATTCAATAAAAATTTTGCAATCGGTGTTGATCTCAAATCTGTAATATATATATATAAAAACCACCTGCTCCAGTGAGCATGCTCACAGCTAGTGATGATAATGCGGGCGTATTTATTTTTCATTTCATTTACTTTAAATAAGTTTTTTATTTTGCATTTTCGTTAAATAATTTTGAAATTATAATTAATGAGAAAGCCAGACTCTACTTCATTACTGTGACCGTCACTAGAAAAATACAAAACATAAGGAGGCGAAGCTAAACGGAGGAAACGGATAATAATCGACGAAAATTTGTTAACGGTAAAGAATTTCTATAAACACCATTTAAACTTACCGATTACGGAAGAGCCTTTCACGAGTGATTGGCCGCAATAATGAGTGGCCATGATAATGGTACCGTTAGCCGTAAGAGATGATTGCGGTATCATTAGGTAGTCTTCACGACGATCATCTCCGTTAACTTGATTATAACTGTGACAATTATTATCGAAGCCGGGCTCTTCGGTGTTTTGTTTAGATAAGGAAAACTTTTCAACTTGATATCTAAGAAATGGAAATTCGTTAAAATGATAATTCATTGTATGACCGATACTAAGTGAGTAAACATACTGTATCATATTAGCCGCCTTTACTGGTTTTATGCAAATTACGTAGTTCATTTTACTTAAATAGTAACCGCTGCCGTCGGACTTGTAATTAAAACTTTTTATTTGCCCCTCCGATTGCGTGAAGTATTGATTGCAACCTAATGGAGCTAACAAATCGATATCGTCGAGAGTATTCTTGCTATTTGAATTGTAAGGTATTGTAAACATGGTCCTTAAATTCTCCAAATTGTTGCTATTTATGAATGGCATATAACTTGGTGAACGTTTTTTATTTTCATTCGTTCTTGGACACTGTAACTGCGTGACAATTAAATGCCATTGACTCTGCGACCATTTATTAGGGAGAGCGAATTTAATAATTAGTTCGGTATCATCCTTACTGCCATCGTAAGGCACATACAAATGTTGGCCACTATTTTCACCACACAGCATAAAATCTCCTATAACCACATGATCCTCACACTCTAAAGAGCTTTGCGTAGCGTCCAAGATGGGCGGTTGAAGTTCCAATGTTTTGAATTCAATCAGTACCTGGCAGACTTGAGTGCTAAACCGCTGTATACGATATGAGCAGGAACTTGGGATTTTTTCTAGAGCAGCACTTTTAATGACTACTCGTTTTTCTTTAATTATCGAATTGCAATCAACTTTAGCTAAATATGAGAAATAATTTTTTTAATTGTTTTCATTAAAAAATTAAAAATTAAAAAAAAAACCAGACTTACTTTCACAACAAACTTCATAAATATTACAAAATCCTTTGACTTTTCCACCTTGGCTTACACACTTTGAGCGGGACATACAAGAAGAGCTGCCTTCGTCGGCATACGCATTAGAGCCGCAGATATGAAAGAGACCACCTCGCCTGGGTGAGCGCGCTTCGAACAATTTCATTTCATCGTTCGTTGTTGTCTCCGAAGTTACGCTACTTTCTAAAATTCCTATCGTCAGTATTAAAATCCGAAAATTTCTTAGAGTGAACATGTCTCTCAAATCGTGACAACGTTTCTGCTCTTACTGTCCGCTATCAATTTATAGTTTAACCTTTTTATACCCTTTTTAAGAATTCTTTTCTTTTCAAAAAAAAATTCACGGAAAAATGTTTCATGTAAACATTGATGATATTCGAAGAAATTGATTTCTATGATTCGTTTCGGGTTTTTATTTGTGATCGTTTCAGGTATTTCAATATTTGCTTAATGGTCTATTGAATCATTGTTTATTTGTTTTCCATGTTTGAGTTCAGTTACACCCTTCAAGAGACAACAAATGTTGATTAACATAAAGAAAGGTTATGCTCCGCACTTATATCACGATAAGGTGAATGTGTGTTCTTTTAATATTCCGCATGTAACATATGACTTTTATTCAGTCGTAATTTGTGAAAAAATAATTTTATCTCTTCATTTAACTGCATCTCTCTACATCTAGTTATTGGCTGTTGTACCCACCCACATAATATCCACACAATCTTTGTGTCGACTTCGTTGCTAATACATTTCTGTGCCACTCTGCTTATACATTTCCCTTTCCAATTAGAATTCTCTTCATATCACTTAGTCTATCTATCCGCTTTTCTGCCTTAAGATCTGATTACTCTTTGCCGCTTATGCTATTCTTCTTTTATGCTATTTTTCGCTGAAATATTGTTTTACTATATTTTTGTCTTTCCACGTATTTGTTTCTCTTGCTATCAGTCTTACTATTTTCTCCTATCATTTGCTATCTTCCTTATCCAACTTTCTGCGCATGACTTACTGAGCTTCTGTCTAATTGCTTTTCTTTAATAATATAACAGATCTTGATGTCTGATTAAATTATCAAATCTACATAAGATATTTGGGATAAGATGGGCACAACCAACAAGTTAATACTATCGAGAATTTCTTTGGAACCGGGTCTTACAAGACTTTTAGTTGACGTATTTGGACCGAAGCTTGTAGATTGTGCTAGCACGTTGAAGACTTAGACGTTCCTCCGACAATCATCCGTGTCGACTATACTCAGGTATAGCCAGTTGTTCCGAAAGAACTTTTTATGCAACCCCAGCTCTTTAATTGCGTTCTTTTGCATTGTTACGCCGACACCGTACGGCATACCATTAAAGCTTTCTGTATCCACCCCTTACCCATATCTTTATGATTAGCATCATGAGAAACATCTGTCATCAGCGGGTCATTACTATTTCATAAAAATGATTTCAACGCCTACAATAGCACGGGAGATCCTTCCTTCTCAGCATCTTGTAAGCCCTAAGGACCTTCCAAAAAGAACTCATTGACAGGGTTCCACTTAAGGCCATTGTTAATAGTCTTCGTATGATTCTTCTATACCCGGCTTCGAGCAATGATTAGTTGCTGTCCTCATATAAAGCCGTAATACGTGAAGTCGCCAATCACTGGACCACCTGGCCTCTACGTACTTCCATTTTTCGATATGCGAGCTGTAGCAGGTATCTCTTACACGTTTTTGAGATTTTCGCGATTCTGTACTTAACGTTTGACGTAGATAACGATTTTTTAAAGTGTGGCCTTGATGAATGTTTATATGTTAGGTGTGTGGACGACTGTTATTACTTGTAATGTCATTTACTTTAGACTTTCAGTAAATGAAAAAATCTTGTAAGACTAAGAAAGCATCTGTCGACGAGGTGAAGTGAAAAAAGTCGGGATACTTTGAAAAATTAAAAAAAAAAAGGAAACAAGCGAAATAATTATATTCGGAGGTGACCATATCTTTTACTCCTATCACGTTTCCCTTAAAAAAAACTAAGAAACAACAACAAATGATAGAATTCAATTTTGATAGCATATAAAAATCGATAGGCGTGGTTGATCTTTTTCCCATTTCTGACCCGTAGAATACAGATTGTAAGGAGCAAAAACGTTATAGGCGGGTTTCTTGACCAATTCGGTTCAGTTTTAATACCTACCTGTGCATCAGATCTTCCGACATTTTCGTCAATATTAAAATCGATATGTCCTTAGCACCTTTACCACGTACATTGTACAGTTGGTCGGATGGACACCGTTAAGTCGATGCAGAATGCCAATCAAGAACATGCACTCTTTGTAAAGACGCTGAAGCTTCTTTTTTGCTTATGACAAAGGTTTTTACAACATGGTATAAAAAAAAAAAAGCTGAAAATAACAACACAGAACTTGCAGGAAGAAATCCGTTTTCTGACTGTAGGATGGGTACTTACTTTAGCTTAGATTGCTTGTAATTTGCTGGAATATTTTGCCAAATGATAATAGCATAACGAGCATATCTATGCTGTTTAAGAACTTATCATAAAAAGTTAGTCAGCTTGTGGTGTTTTGTCGAAAACTTTAAAGCAAATGCATAGTAAGCCGGCATCCAAAAGAGCTCTTCATTGAAGTCCATATTAAGTGAATGCGAATTGTTTGTCTAAACTTTTCTTAACATAACGATATGTTATGGCACATGACATAATACAATTTCCAAGTATTTAAAAACATAAACATTAAGTTGACATATATATGAGAGATATATCCAATAAAAGGTATATACGATATGCCGTTTAAATGACATCTTTCTTAATAGAATAAACTTTAAGAAATAAGATAAATGTTTAACTTACATTAAACATTAGCACAATAACGAAATATGAGATAAAGGGGAATTATAGGGAAAACATCAAAAATAGCAATAAATAAAAAAAAAAAAAAAAAAAAAAAGGAAGGAACATATCAAGTGTGTGAAATATTTAAACATCATAAAGTCACTCGAGCATGTTATGTTGTTGTTAAGTATCTATTTAAGTGTGAGCGAATATGTAAGTGCTCAAGTGAGTTGTTGTACATTTTACATATATATATATATGTAGACATATATATAGGGGTTTGCTTCAAGTGCCTGTGTATCCTTGTACATGTAAGTTGTAGGATATAATGTTGTTTAACAACGCACTGGTGACATTAAAAGCCAAAACATCCTTTACACACGTACATCCTTATATAACTTTAACTTTTTTTCTTTCTTCATCACTTTTCATTCATCCTCTCGCTGCCTTTCATGCAGCAATTTGGTTAAAATTCTTTGTAAATGTACGGATATGTAAGTAAATGCATGAAAATTCACATTTCATTGTGTGTACATTGTGTATATGCAGCCTGCTTACAACTGGATATTTAATGAAAAATATAATAAGAATTATAATAAGTAAGAAAACGGCGTTCCATTCAGACCGAATCTTGGATACCTATTATCTGATGGACGGATCGATATATAAGTGAAAGAAAAGAGCCTTTTAATAGATGCATTGAAGGAAGCATTCGAATCACAGACGTATCTTTAATCGACTGCATAGACGGACAGACAGGAAAGTGCTATACAAGAGATTGATGAAAGAAGGATAGAGCGATCAGTGGGTTACGGGGAGGGACTGGCACGACATCTTCCAAGAGAACGTATTGTAATGGGCGTACAGCTGGACAGCCGGACAGATAAAATAAATAAACGGAGAACGGAAATCGTGAAAAGCAGAGGAAGAATTGGCAGAAGGTTTGGCTTACCTTAAAATCGATGTACGGCGAAATGGATGGACGGATGGACTATGATCTACGCTGTAAAGAAGGAAAGACCACAGTTTACTAATTGTATGGATTACATGTAACCATGAGCCGGCCCCATAAACTATACGGGAGAATAAGTTCTGGAGTCGATCTATAGCTGTCGGTATTCAATCGACTCGACAGAACTTTTACGATCGAAACATTTTCCATTCGGTATTGAGATAAATGCATTATCAATATATTGACAGCTTTAAAGTCTCTACTCTTAGCAGCGCGAGTCGACTCGCTATCGGCCCCTGATTTTCAGAGACAAAGACATTCAGTTTATATTTTGGAATCTCTAACGTAGGTATTTTTGCTTAAGTGTTACAAACGTTACAATAAAATTAATATAACTCTTGCTTCCTGTCTTCGGTATAAAGGGAAAATTACGAAATACGTACAAAATATCATAATAAAAACGTTGATGATGTTGACGACGGCGATGGCTTTGATGAACAAGAAGACGCAACCATATGTATATGTAAAGGGAGACGGTAGGGAAAAAGTAGCGTTTTAATAAATTTGTAAACAGATTTGTTAATTTCAGCATAAAATTTTGATGAGAACTTGGCCATATTGTGTGGCGTAAAGGACAATAACAAGAGCAAGCAATATCATCAACATCATCAACATCATTATCATCGTTATCATCAAAAAGTTTGCCACGTATGTGCTTTTGTGATTGGATGCGTGTATATGCGTGCGTGTATGTGTAATGCAAACAGTATTGTATCTTCTTCTTCTTTTTTTTTTTCTTGCTTGAAAAATATATTTAACACAATCTACGGAGACGGAGTTTCGCTTACTCTTACTGTTGTTTGCTATGGGCGCGAGGGCAAATTTTTCATAGATGACTATCTTAAATAGGTTGTATGCGCCTTGATTTGGGGCCCTTTGTATTTAAACGAACATCATCATATTCCATTCATCCGATATCGCATTTGATATATCAACTTAAATATTCTGATAATTTCTGATGTGTAATTTTGTAAAAGCCATGATTACATGCATCCACCCATCCACTCATCCACTCATTCTTTTGTACGCGTGTACGCGCGAGTGTATCTATATGTTTGTGCGTGCGCGTTTAAGTGTATGTTCTTTTATAGTTGGGTGTTAATGGCTGTACAAATGTGCGTGTATTAAGTAAATAAACGCTTTTGCACAAAAGTTAATAATACCAACAACAATAGGAACAAAATCCATCGCACTTGTTCGCATCTGTACTCACAATAGGTTCGAAAAGAGACAAAAAACGCGCGCGCAAAAAAAAAAAAAAAAAAAAGAAAAAAAAGTAAATGTAAATATTCGTGTTAAACGGAAATGAAACGCATGAAATAAATGTAGTTTGTGCGTCCGCTGTCTCGTTATTGCGAGAGCAAATATAACGCACAGTAGGGAATAATGTGCCATGTAGTTTTTCATCGTCTACTTTAATACTTTGGCGAGTACTTTGTCATGCAATTCGTTATACGTAAAAACCTGTACTAAAGACTTTACAAAGTATATATACATATATATTTTCCTGATAAAAGCGAAATTTCGACCCAACGTAGTTATGAGTAATTCAATGGTTTAACATTGAAGCAGAATATTATCCGTGATGCTTGTATATGCGTCGCCACAACTTCAGTCAGTTGTTTCGTAAATGCGAAACACTTTTTTTAAAATAATCTTCTTCTGATAATTGAGGCCTGCTTCCATATATACTTCAATGATGATAAGAGACAGAGTAACTAATTTCAAATATTCGCGTAACTTAGTCTTGGCATTCTTTTAAAGCTATTTGCCTTCACTACACTGCTTGTTGGGTTGTCATGCGTGGTTGGGATCGGGTTGGTTTAGTGCTCATTTCATGATTTCCCTTCTTTTTTGCTCGGAGTAA